CTCTGAGACACAAGATACAAGGACCAGTCACCCCTTCGTTAACCTCTAAAATGAGTCTTTCAGGCCAGGTTTGAGGATGTTTTCTCTCTAAATGGTGCCACGCAGCCCAAGAGTTCATTGTTATTCTTCTCAAAGAATGACCCACATTGACACTTCTCTGGGGTCATTAGTATATTTATAAAAAAGTGGGGTGACTGAGTACCCCCTCTGCTGCTCTTTATAATATGTAGCTATAGAGCACAGTCCTGAGAAGAAAAAAGGAGGAATATTATTAACCAATATTTCAACTCCTCTATAAATATCAAAACTCCTGTATGCATCCCAGCTATAAGTATGGAGACAACTGATTGGATTTTAATTACAGTAAGATGCAAGACAGTTTGGGGTCACTACATTTCTTTCCTGATGTAAACGGCCTTAAACTAATTAACAAAGACCATGAGCTGAGGACCCAGGTCAGAAAAGCATCACTTCATTTAGACGTATACAGACTAGCAGCTGAAGCAGGGCCCTGATTCTTCCTCCAGATGGCTTCTTTACTTTTTTTTTTCTTGTCTTGACAAGATAGGACAATGTAACACTGTGGAAAACAATTGCGTCAAAGAATCTGAGTGTCCTATGGGCTCAACAGTTCAGCAGACATTGAAATGATTTTTGTGACTCAGTACATGTGCTGGGTATACATCATATATATGCATATATGTGTGATATATATGCATAAATACATATAATTTTGACGGGTTATACATACACACATATCTACATGAGAATCTGAGATTGGACCCCCAGCATCCACATAAAAACCAACCAACGAACCAACCAACCTGTGGTCTGTGCCTGTCATCATAGCACTGAAAGGCAGCGACAGGAGGATCACTGGGACTTGGTAGCCAACCAGCCTAGTTAGCTCCAGGTTCAGTGAGCGATACTGTCTCAGAGAAGGCAGAGGGTGGGGGAGTTGACTCAGTGAGTAAAAGCATTTGTCACTCAAGCTTGACTACCTGAGTTTGACCCCCCTAACCCCACATAAAAAGCAGGATGTGCTGGTCCACATCTCTGTCCCAGCATTCCCAAGGACAGGTAGGAAGAGGAGAAGAGTTGGCCAGAAGCTTATGGGCCATCTAGCCTGGAGCATGCTGGGTAGTGGCAGAAAAGAGAGAGACCCATCCTCAACACGGTGAGAGACAAGAACTGACACTCAAAAGTTGTCCTCTGGTCTCCACATGTACATGTTTTGAGGCATTTACATGTCCTCTCTCTATCTACCTGCCCCCTTACATGCATGGATGCAAATGCATGCTAAACTAAAAGGAAAACAAAACACTTTTTAAGTGAACAGTGATTGAGGAAGACACTGCTACCTTTAATCTCTAAAACACACACATATGTGTGCATACATGTAAATATATCATGTGCGGACATAAATATACATTGTCAGGTATTAGAAGGCTTATATAATATCAATAAAAGCCCCATAAGTTTCCATTTATTTAATTTGTTGGAAAAAACCATTAAATTTTATTTTGAAGTGTAATAAAAGTGTATTGTGTCCTTAGTTCTAAGTCCCATACTGTTGGGCTTGAAGAGACATATGCAGGCAAATCTTCTGTGTTAAATTGGTAACACACTTGTCATCAATTTTGAGGGGAAGAACTATTTTCTGAGCTTGGTTTGTTTAAAATAGTAATATCAAAATTTTCAAAGTGACTTTGAAATAAAATTCTTTTATATATCCATATAAGCTATTTTTATTCTATTTAGTGGTGTGCGGGACTCAGAAGATCCTCCCAGGGTCTACTGACATGGAGGAGCTAAGAGCAGACACTAGGAAATGCCCATCTCATTTCTCTAAGTTTTAAAGAAGTTATTTGCAGGAAGAAGAGAGAAGAATCATGGATGAGAACCCCCAACTGTGGTCATTTGGAGAGCAAAGAGCATTGGACAATGTTTTATTTTATCAGTTGCTAACAATTGCGAATCAGAATTTAATAAACAAGTCAACACACTTCTAAAAAATCCTTACACTTCTGTCAGCATATTTCCTTCTAGGAAACATTGTTATGATTTATTCAATTATGAACATATTCTTTCTGGAGAATCAGAGACAATAACTTTGCTAAAAAGATGGATTTTTTTTCCTCTGTGAGTTGTAGGGGAAGATGAAGATGATCGGAATGAAGGCTCACCACCATGAATAAACTCGAAGTATTTAGTCATGATACCTTACATGTTTGACCCTGTGTTTTGCAAAGGAAACTGGGTCAGAGAATCCCTGACATTATATACTTGGATGGTTATATTTATACAGACTACAGTGAACGCTTGACATTAAAGCTTCAATTAACCATACGTTTAGCACTTCGTGTTCAACTGTGTCTCCCAGAGTACTCAGTTCTCTTAAGGCATCTGAAAAATCACTTTCTTCTCTCTTTTCAATTCATCTTCCTATCTTTAAGAAAGACATTGGTGTCCTGGGGCTGGAGGGATGGCTCAGTGGTTAAGAACGCTTGTTGCTTTTCCAGGGGACCTGGATTTGGCTCCCAGCACACATCTCAGCTGCCCCACAACCACTGTAACTCCAGTTCTCAGTGATGGGACACATGGCAACATAAACTAACCCAGCACATATACATAAACAAACAAATCTTTAAAAAGAGGACGGTATCAGTAGTAAACTTAAGTGACAGGAAATAAAGTGGTTATACATTATATATTTAGAGTGGTTTCTCTAGCGACAGAAGTTTATTGGCCAAAAATAATTCTTCAAAATGTCAACGAATGTTAATGAAGTAGACACGAACAATGGGAACAAGAGGCAGACAGATTTGGGGGCCCTAGTCTACGACCAGGTAGCCACTAAAGTCAAGTCCCTTCCTTCCCTGTCATCCATATGTAGAATATACGCTCCTGTTTCCTCTGTCATTTATATCAGGGATAAGCCATGCTGGGTACAAAATCACAATGCCATGATGTCACCCAAACAAGCTGGTTGCTGACCTACATGAGACGGGGGTGGGGAGGTGCGGGGAGAGGCAGGAGGAAGAATGCTGTCCTGGGGTAGGAAGGCTAAGTGGGTAAGAATGCTTGCCATGCAAGAATAAAACTGGATGCGGCTGCGCCAATCTGGAACCCTGCAGCTTTCTAGCCATTAGCCGGACCCTATCTCAACAGAATAAGGCCAAACCTCTTCTAGACTCTGCGCATGTCTGCATGCATATACATGCAAGCACACATGTGTAAGTGCATGCATGCACACACACACACACACACACACACACACACACACACACACACACACAC